CAGCAGGCAAGTTCAGTAGGCAAAAAATGATTGTACAGTGACCTTGGGATTTGTGCTCCCTGACCTAAAGAGGTTAATAATGTTACAGAAAAATCTCATTACAGAAGAACAAGCTTTTTTTTGGCTTGTCATCTATGCCTTAAAAATAGTATTGCAAACCGACAAAATAAATTCTTACGATAAATGCTGTTTCAGAGGAGATCTGCAAACTTTTAGAAAAAAAGGCTTTTTTCCTAGGCTTTGTTTGTGTAGAAGTCTCTTTTTCAAGCCTCTAGTTAAACTCAAGCACAAAAGGTATTTCAGGAAGGAAAAAAGTGTTTAATAAAGCAATGGCTTCTGCCCAGGAAATGGAATAATTTTACATCTCAGTGATGATCTTCCACCGAATTATCCTTTGAAGAACAGCAGCAATAAATTACCATTTTAAAGAGGAGAGCTCTGATCACACTAGTCCTATTAATGGAGTTTCAGTTGTGGATTCCCCTTTTCCCTGTGGCCCACTGCTACAAAACACAGCTGCCAATATCATTTGTGTGTCTCTGCAATCTGGACCTTCATTGTAAGGGAAACAAAAGCCTCCCCTCCTCATCTGCCAGCCTTCGCAGTGGCTGCAAGGTGACTAAGAGACTGCCCAGTGCAAGAGCAACAGATGAGGGAATCTTTCTGCGTGGCTTATATAACTTATATAGCACATACTTGAAGACTCTTGCCAGACACACCCTTGCAGCTACACTCAGTTGAATTATCTTTTATTCAAACAAAGGCAAAATTTAATGACCCTTGTAAAAGAAAGATATTAAAAGAGCAAGAATAGGATTTTTTTTTTTTTTTAAATCAGAGATCTCCATTGAAAATTCAGGAGGTTAGCAGGCACAGTTTAAACAAGTTTCTGATTACAGTCAAATACAGATTAAAAAAAAGGTAAGACTTGCACAGAGAAGAGGAGAAAGGACAGGTCAGAAAACCGCACATCACAGCACAGTGTCGAATTCTGTTCTCGGACTCGAAACTTCTTTGGAAGCAGCGTGAGCTCCATCCAGAGAATTAGGTGAGAACTGCATGGTAAAACAGATCAGATCACCTAAGTCTGTTAAAATCTTTCTTTGCAAATGGCTTTCAGATGATCTCATTTAAAACCATGCCTCTATCATGGGAAGGGAAGAGAAGAATAGAAGGGGATAAGAGAGGAGAAAATTATTAGATGTTGTCTTATTATATTGTCTTAATACAGAGGGAAAGACAAACCTTAACTCCTAAGCATACAAGGAGTAAGAGGATGATTCTTAGAGATCGAGGCTGCAAGAAAATTGTTCCCTGTACCACGTGGACTAGTACTGGTTGATTTGATCCTTTTAATGCAGTTTAGGCTTATCATATTAGAGGAACAGAACGAGTAGCACTAGGTGTCCCTTCCGAGTAAGTTAAAACAACAGAACTGACACAGTGGGTCACAGAGGGAGAAATGTTTCAGTGTTCAGAAGGAGCTGACAGGCTGCTCAAAGCAAAACCCAAGTATCGATCCTACCCGAAGGCCTTTTGTAGGTCCTCCAGAAGTCGATGGTCCCTTTGATTGCAAAGCATCAAGCTGACAGCAAGGAATATAAGGTTGGCCTGGGTCAAGTGCACAGAAAAGGGTGGGGACCAGCCGAACAACAGGAGCAGAAAACATGCGAAACAGTGAGTATCCCTATCATGGAGAGGATTTGCAGTTATTCTCCTTAAAGCCTATCCAGTCATTTGCCGTACTGTGTTGTCATCTAAAGGGAGAGCTACCATTACCCTGAAGAACAGAAGAGACGTCTGAGATGAGTTATTTCACTAGGAAGGTTTTCCATGCTCACAGTCCAGACATCCAGATCCTGCAATGATCTTATTCCTCTTTCAGGAAATGGGTAAAAAATTTGCTTATGACCCAAACGTGCCCTAAGTTAAAGAAAGGGCTAATGACAAAATAAACTGATCACATGAAGCAGGACCAGTAAACAAAAGAACACTATTTCCACAGTTCCTTGCTTTTCAGAGCATTCTGCAAACTCAAGAAAGCAGTAAGATTAAAAATATAGAGGAAAAGCTAAACATATGAATCTCAGTCGTTCCCATGCAACATACGGTTCCGCTGTAATACTTCAGGCAGCAGCTCAACCCTACACTGTTATAAGACAATGCGCCTGAATGGATAGAGCAATCTGCTGTTTAGAAAACCTGGACGGTATTTCTGGCCGCAGCTCTGATGTTAGGCCCAGCCACTCCAGGCTGTTTTCTGCTTCAGTTTCTCACCCATAAACTGGGAAGGAGATCTAGCCTCCTTTGACAAGGACCTTTCACAGCTACTGATGAAAACATAATAAAAAACCCAAACGTTCTTTACCCAACAATTCACTTTCTTTACTTAACTAGTAATAATAAAGTACGTGGCCCTAATCCCCACTCCAAAATTTCTGTTGTCGATGCTGTTCTGTTAAAGTGTAAGTATTAAAGGAGTGGCATTATAATGAGATGAGCTTATGAGATTAAAGTGGAATAGAGTAACAGATTTTGAAGGTTCTGTTGTGTGATAAATATTAGATTTCCCCTGTGAATTATCTGACCAATATATGTAATAAATCTATTTGTTGAATTAAAGACATATCCCTCCAAATGTCCCAGCATAAATCCAATACTAGCAATAAATAGTATTTAATAAACAAAAACTTTAAGCCCAAGTCTGGAAATCTACCATAATGCTTCTCTAGATTGTTTCCTTGCAGTAAAGTAGCAATTTCCATGAGTCTGAATGTAAACTTACAATCTCTACTCCTAAATACACCTAGCCAATGATGTGCCTTGCTTCCACTGTATCTTTTGGGGAAGGAAGCCAACCTTTTCTCACAAAGTACCTGAATCCTTTTGTCATTGGTGCCCAGAGTACCCAAAGCATTAGTTGAAAATAAATTACTGTTCCATGGAGTAATTTTGATCGTGAGGTAAAAAAGCACAATGAAACAAGCACTGATAATTATTTTAAAAAGTTTGTACCATATGTCAGTTAAAGCGTAGCCTTGATTTCTTACTTTCACTCTAATATTTTATGGCATATATCAAGCATACCTTCTTGCCTCTAACATAAGGCATGAGCTATGCCAGCATGTGCAGATACTATTTCTCTCTAATAAGAAGTATTCTGCAAGAATGCTCTGTTGCTGCATAATTGTTACTGCATTTTCTAAGTCATTATGTAACACTCGTTTGTGTCTTATAAGCCTAATCCTGTTTCTATTTTGGAAAACTAGAAAATTGTTGTTCAAATCAGTGAGAATGGATTTAAACTATTTGGCATTCATAGCACTATGGCATGTAGCAGTATTTTTATTGTACAGCTTGAATCTAGTTTGTCATGCACTATTCGGCCCAGATTCACCCCATTAACTTCAGAAACTTAACTGAGATGCCTAAACTGGGAGTGGAATACCATAAGCTTCCTAAACAAATCAGCAGAGGAAGATAGGTACCTCCACCCACAAAAGATCTAACTTGCCTTCTGGTCACCACTTTCTCTAAGATGGGAAAGGGAGAGCCTTTTAGGGAGTCTATTAAACTCTGGAAATGCTTGCATTGCTTCTCTGCTGGCAGACAGATATCAGAGCTTGAACAAGATGGCTGAGCACATTGTTTGCTAGAAAAACATCACCTGACTCGTATATACCTTTACAGGTATTTTGTTATTAAGGAAATAAACACCAAATCATCCTTCTCTTAGTCTACATCTCATTTGTCAGATACCTAAAATAAAGATCATTGTATTTCTAATGGTTTATTTTAGGAAACAAACAAGCAGCTCAGCCAGTAAGAAATAATAACTGCAGTCCATTTGCCATGAGCTTAGCAAGAAAAACTGCATCTTACTATCCTTCGCCTGCTTTAGAGCTTAGTGGTCCATTCACCCAGCTCTATTTAATTTGCATTTCTGTGAAGGGCACCACTGCATAAAATGTAAACAGGTTATATACAGAATTTAAAACTTTCCAATAATAAAACGTCTCAACAACTTTTTCTTCAGAATTACCAAAAAAGCTTTGAAGTCTTTTTTTTTAATCAAAACACTGCTATTTTTATTCAAACACAGCAAACAGGAACGGTTCAGCTGCACTGGCATACCACTTTGTTCAGAGAGAGTATTTCCTAATTCAGTGACATCCCATTGCCTCAACAAATGCAAAAACAGTCCTATGCATTTCCCTTCACTCTTCTGTGTTCACGCCTCTCCAGACTGCTGCTCGGGGGGCACAGCTCTGCATTTGGATGAGCTCCCTTTCCATGTATCACACGACGTAAAGGTGGGAAAAGACTGAAAAGTGTTTGGGAGCTTTGAGTTCCTCCTGTCTTTATCTTTATCCCTGCATTTCATTGTCACTCCATCTGAAAGCTATCAGGACAAGTAATGCCATCCTTAACTGTAACACTTCATAACTGGCATCACTCTATCAAGACATGGCTGTTCAGTTAGGATGGTCACCTCCCTCCAGGAAGGTGGCTTTCAAGGTGGGCTTCCCATGGTGACACCAGCAAAGGTACCAGACATGGACTCTACCTACGTCCTCTTTTAGGGTGGAGCCTTCATCTCTGCACCAAACACCCTGAACTTTCACATTTCACAGATGTGTTAGACACTTTTATTTTGTAGACTGGTGGCGCACCTGACACCCAAAACACCTTACTAAGGAAGGCACCGCACCAGCAAATCAGAAATGAGCTCACAGTCTACGTCAGGCAGTGCCTTACTGGGAAAGATGGAGGAAAGGGAGGAAGAACAAGTAACAAAAATATCTTCAGGCAGAAGCAGAAGCTCAGATTGCTTAGGTTCTAGCAAAACAGAAGAGGCAACTGTCCCTTCACAAATAAAACAATGGATAAATATTTCAAACTGCAAATGTGGTCCATGACATTCTGTTCTCATTCAAGCCAATCACAATTTCCACTGTCTTCATTGTGATAAGATTTTACCCACCATTTGTATTCATTACCTTTTCATAAGCTTTCCTTTTTGTTTCAGAGTCCATCCAGTCATTTTCCTTTTCCAACATATCGATAAAAGCCCAGCGAATTCCTTCAGTCAACTCCTCCATCTGCAAAACATACAGGAATCCTCTCCCCAGTAAATTAAGTTGTGGCAGGATGATTATAAGAAAAGTTTCAGTGCATGAAGGAATGATAAATACAGTAAGACCATGAAAGTCTCCACATCCGACACTAAGTTCTCTTCCTTCTTGAAGGCTGGTTTCTTTTCTTTCTCCAGTTCTCAGGCACTTCTTGTCAAGACAAGTTTCTCTTCATTTTCTTTTCTTTCAGTTGTACCACACAACCTATTCGTTGCTGATCCTTTTATGTCACAATTGTGAGAATGTCTTTCTTGCTATCATAAAAAATACTGACAGAATCAGTTATCTGGGGAGAGTTTTGACGCTTTACTTCTAGATCACTAGCCCATACAGAAGAAGGAGCCAGCTGCAAGGTATTTACACAGGAAACACCTTTTCTGTAGAGGGAGCATCTGTAGCCTTCTTTGGCTCACGTCATTCTGAGACACTCATTAATATTGCCAAAGAGAACTGAATTTAGGCTGACAGTATCATGATATAAATACAAAACAGCATTCAAATACTCACTCAGTAAGCTCTATTTGTGAAGTATTCCTATAATTTATTTATTGAAGGGATGGAGGCCACAGCTCAGAATACTCAGCAGCCTTGGCTGCTTTTGGGCTCTTGAACCAACAGTGATAATTTGCATCCATGCAAAGACAGGAAAACTCCCAACCTTTTTGCTATTTTTTTGTTATTTTTTTACTAAACCACAAGCATGTCAAGAGCGAAAAAAAAAAAAGATAGAGAATAAATCCCATGGCTAAGAGAATCATCACACTGATGTAAAGAGCAGAAATGTCCTCAGGCCTACGCATCTGTCTGGTGGCACAGATCAAAGCTATATGGAGTCAGTTGCTTCTATTTTTACCAATAGATGACAATTTTTTTTTTTTTACCAATTCATGACCCAGATAACCACTACAAATACTGTGAGAGGGAAGCAGCTCAGGAGGATCCAGCAGTTGCTGAAGTTCTTTCTCACAGACAGAACCAGAGCTGAGATACCACATGACATGATAGATAATCATTTTGCAAAGACTTACTGGATCTTTGTTTTATCAGTTATGTAACATTTAAAAAAATAATGAAATATCAAGTACCAAGACTATACAATTTTAATCTGTAGATCTGGTAGCTCTGAGATGTCATGAAAGGTGGGGACTAAGGCCTGGAAAGTAATGCTACCTTCAACTAAATTGTCATTCATGTGTGTTTTAATCTGTATGCATGTTTTAATCTGGAACTGTTCTTTATTTGTGGTGCAGCCAGACAAAACACAGAAAAGCTCCTTTGATTATTCATTTCTGCTACCTTTTTCAAAAAACGTTTTCCTATTTTTAGAGATAATGTGGGACAATTGGAACAGGTCTAGCATTAAATATGACTAAACACTCAACATTCACAGTAAACTGCATCCCGGGGAATAGGACAACTTAAAAATATTGATGACAGAGCACTGACTCAATTAACTTAGTGCACTAATGAGGTGAACTCCCTCTATTTGGAGGTTACAAGTTCAAACTCAAGCTCTGCAGCTGGGCCCTAGTGTACACTTAGGCTTTATGCACCAGCTGTAGCTGCAGGGGGCTGGAGGAGAAACCTATTCCTGCTATCAAAGTTATTATGGGAACTGCTCAGGCGTAGCTGTAAGAAACACTGCAGGCACTGTGGGTTAGAAACAGGGCTATATTTAGACACAAATAATGTCTTTCTTGATAAAAAGGAAGAGAGAAGTAGCCAAGGTCTGAAACATTAGTGACAAAACCTGAGGGGAAAAAAAAAATCCCACTCACTAACCGTAACTCAGATTTGCTTATTATAGACAGCTACATTCCATGAGGCAATAAAAAAAATCGGTACAAATAGGAGCTTTTTTTTCAAGTGCTTTCTTAAGTGTTTAAGAAAGAGAAATAGACCTGAAAAAGAGTGAAACAAAAATGATAATCCCAAAAATGATTAATTTGAAAAACACACTTCTGAAAGGATTGCAACAAATTTCACCTGCATCTAATTTTTATCTCCACGGACAGTTCACTATAAGTCCCAATTTTGTAATCTGTATTATAAATTTTATACCTATTGCTCGCTATGGATGCCTCTGTGAATTCAGACTCCATAGCTTTTCAAAGATTTGGTCTGAAAGGAATTTGCAGCCTAAGAAATATCTGAATTAGGCCTCATTTCAACAGAAAATCATTCTCTACTTCTCTCTGCTTCCCTTACTATTCCCTCAAATATATACACACGAAAAAAATGTTTGTCCCTCAATAAAGGGTGCATTTCTTACAGTCCTTCTCTCTCTACTTCATCCTGCACAGAGGTCATACTATTTAATATCCCAGAAATTTCTTTGCAAATGAATTGGCAAATAGCACATTACAAATGCTATGAAGAATCGAGAAACTGAAAAGATGGATCTCAGAGAGGAAATTCCAGTTCAAGGAATTTAACAAAAGAAATGCAAACCTGAGAGGGAAACACAGCATAAAGACTTTGCCAAATCAAATCAGCGTGTTGGTCTATCTAACAGGGAGTCCTGCTTTTGATAGTCATCAACAACTATCTCTAGATAAGACTGAGGAAATGGTCAAACTAGTCAGACAAACTCAAGCTAGTGAGCTAGGGCTGTGCAGGACTCTCACAGAGCTCTCTCCCCCAATGCAGGATGCTTTTTCTCATGTTTCCTAAATGTTTGTGCCTCTCCTACACTAAGAAATAAGTTCAATACCTACATTAGTTAATTTTAAACTGATTACTGTTGGGAAATCAATAGCTGGAAAAGCAGATATTGAAAAATCCTATGAGAAAAATATGAACTGGAAATAAGTCATAACTGATTGTGAAGGATAATTAATCATTTGAAAACATTATTAAGGGAAGTGATAATATAGCAATGTCTGAAGTACTACAGTGAGGATGAATGTCTCATTAAAAGCTAAACTCTGGACTCAGCAGTGTGGAAGAATACGTTCCTTCACTGCTGAGTGAAAAAGTCCTGAGTCAGAAATATATATGCTCAGTATACGGCTCTAAGCTTCCTTTAATTTGAGACAGACATCAGTTACAGTTTTCTTGTTTTGACTACGTGTGCAATATAGTCAGCTTTAAGAGGGTAGGGCCTGAAGCGAGAAATATCGAGCACAATCTACTTACTCAGTAAACGCACTAAGTCCACAAAACTCTACGATACTACATTACACTAGTTATACTAAACCTTTTCTCGTGAATACCCTTAGCTCTGTTCCTGCACTGTCTGATCACCATTATTTGTCATTATGCATGCAAATTAGTGGTGAAAATTCAACCCAGTTTTGGTTTGGCTGCATATTTGTCTGGAAGACCCCCTGAGGACAGAATGAGCTGTGCCCAGATGGATAGAAAGGTGACATTTCTTCATATCTATTCAGTTTTCCCCTTGGCTAGGAGGACTCACCATTTCTTTCTTGTCTTCTTGAAAATGGGCATTCACGAACATCTTGCCTACAACATAAGGGAGCGCACCTTCAACAAGGTCCACACACTTATCCCACTGAGGCAGTAAAGTTGTGGTTCCATGGATTACCTGTTGGCAGGGGCATGTAACAAGTCACATCATATTGTTTAAGGAGAGCACGTCTGTGTATGTAAACAGTGTAGTCTAAAGCATATTTGTCAGATAGCTACCAAAAAGAAACAACAGCAATGGTACTCAACTGTTATTTCTATTTTCATCAGCTGCTTAGACAAATCTTTAAGACCCCAGAGTTATAAAAATTCAAACTTTTTAGAAACAATAAAACAATAATGAGTTAGGGAGACTAGATTTAGAGACTTATAGGAAGACATTCACAAGTGCTAACTTTAGACTAATCTCGGTAGTCTCTCTGTGATCAGTGTAGACATACTGACTTCTCTAGACAATCCCTGCACCAAGATGTCTCCTGGAAAAGCTTCTGTTTCTCCATTGACAAGAAGAGAAGCCTAGGGAGATAAGTCTCATGAAAATTAAGGCAGTCCTCATGAAACACCTTCTATAAAGCTGTGCTGAACTTATCTGTGCTATTTAATCATATCTAAACGTTGGGAGGTAGGTGACAACACCTTTTTACCATTTTGCCAAGTCTAGTTACTGCTACCATATCCTGTGTTAAGTAAGTAGGTGCTTTCAGTACCTTCTCAGATAGAATATTTTCAGGAGAAGACAAGTTTGAATCATCAAGATCACTGAATACATGTTTCTCCCCAGAGAATCTCCCTCCATGCTCTGGCAGAAAGATACTTCTAGAAAAGCTTGTATATTTTACTACCTACATTGTAAAGGAATGTCAGTTAAATAGACACTTCCAGGTTCTGATGTTATCCCTGCACTACCATATATGAGCTTCAAAAGAAAAATCATCAAGAATGGTCAACGCACAAATGAACATGTTAAAACAGAGCTTAAGCATGTTGCTTCTTTGGTTTTCATTTTTGATGAGAAGAATGTTGTTACTGGGGACTCTTACCAGTTAACCTTATATTTTCATAGAATCACAAAATGGTTGAGGTTGGAAAGCACCTCTGGAGATCATCTACTCCAACACCCCTGCTCAAGCAAGGCCACCTAGAGCACATTGCCCAGGATCATGTCCATGCGGGATTTGAATATCTCCAAGGATGGAGACTCCACAGCCTCTCCGGGCGACCTGTGCCAGTGCTCTGTCACCCTCACAGGAAAGAAGTTTTTCCGCATGTTCAGATGGAACTGCCTGTGGTTCAGTTTGTGCCCGTTGCCTCTTGTCCTGTCCCTGGGCACCACGGAGAAAGGTCTGGCCCTATCCTCTCGACACCTTCCCTTCACATACTTGCACACATTGATGAGATCCCCTCTCCGTCTTCTCTTCTCCAGGTTAAACAGGCCCAGCTCTTGCAGCCTTTCTTCAGAGGAGAGATGCTCCAGTCCCCTCATCATCTGCACAGCCCTCTGCTGGACTCTCTCCAGGAGTGCCATGTCTCTCGTGTACTGGGGAGCCCAGAACTGGACACAGTACTCCAGGTGAGGCCTCCCCAGGGCTGAGGAGAGGGGCAGGATCACCTCCCTCCACCTGCTGGCAACACTCTGCCTAATACACCCCAGGAGACCATTGGCCTTCTTGGCCACAAGGGCACACTGCTGGCTCATGTTTAACTTGTTGTCCAGCTCCAGGTCCCTCTGAATGGCAGCACAGCCTTCTGGTGTGTTAGCCTCTCCCCCCAGTTTAGTATCATCAGCAAACGTGCTGAGGGTGAGCTCTGTGCCTTTCTCCAGGTCACTGATGAATAAGTTGAACAAGACTGGACCCAGGACTGATCCCCCGGGGACACCGCTAGCTACAAGCCTCCAACTAGACTCTATGCCACAGATCACAACCCTCTGAGCTCGGCCATCCAGCCAGTTCTCAGTCCATCCCCACTGTCCACTCATCCAGCCAGCAATTTTGTTGTCATAATAAGACTTAGGAGTTCACTTTAAAAAAAAATACACACAACACAAAATGTAAGATGGGTCCACGTAAGCAAGCTGCAAACTTAAGTGCTAACTTTAGAATTTACCCTGTCCCCCGCTTTTTTTTCCTCAGGCAGATCCTGAGACCAACCTTAGTTTCCTACTAAGCTTTTCCACCTAGGATAAGAGAGATCTTAGTCCAGTAAGTTAATACCGGTCTGCTCTGTGAAAAGGCACTACTGTCAACACTAGGCCAGGTCAGGTAAGGTAGGATTTTGGCTTCTCATAGATTATACAGGCCTTTTAAGCACTGATCTAGTAGTTACTGAGCCTCTCCTCAGTCTTCTCTCCCTTTGAACCAAAGATTAAGCTTCTGGCAGAACTAAAGGTTTTGAATTTGGGGTTTTTTTTTCCCTAGCAGGAAAAGTTTTCACTGGAAAATTCTAGACTAGCTCAACCCTCAGCTATTGAAGGTCAGATATTTTGGTAGCTCAAAGATTGATTTTCTCCATCATATTGTCTATAATTAAGCTTAAGCAATGACTCATACCAGTGAACTGCATTTACAAATGCTTTTATTAATACTGTACGCGCACTAATAGATTTTCAATGACAGAAAGAACACTGTTTTTTAAGAAAACCAGATTAGGCAAACCAACATATAATAAGATAACAGTTTCCTAAACAGAGCCAAATATGAAAAAAACTCCTTCTCCAAATCCTCCAATCCCTATATACATATACATATATATTTATATTTATATTTCACAGCACTCAAAAAAAACATAACCAAAAAAATTTCTCTCCTGAGTCCAAACAAAACCACAATGGAGCTGTTTTTCTGATGCAAGGGAGCAAGAGGAGTCATGGCATTAGTCATCAGAGCTTGAAATTCCTTCCAAAAGCGCTGACTATGCATTAGGCACAGAAAGAGTCAGGAGACAGAGCTGACTTTTAGAGTGTGACATATTATTATTACAACATAATAATTATTATTATTTTGAGGGAGGTTTGACTGTAAAGAGGACAGAAATACAACATAGGCTGGGCAACCAATAAAAATAGAGCTGAGAGGAATAGATTAAATCTTGCGACTGGTTTATTGATATTGATACTACAACAACTCCCTCAAAATCATCCTCCTAATATTAATGGTCCACTCTAAAATGCAGTACTCCAGGTAGTAATAGTGACTATAAATAGCAGGTTTCGAGCCCTCCCAGTCAATTCAGAGCTCCACAACACAATTAACTGATCTCCCCTAGAGCCACTGCACATTTGCTAGAACTCAAATAGCCAACATAGAGCAGCTGCTGATTTGACAGTCAAGGCAACTTCTCTAGAATCAGTAGGTTTGTCTTATTTCTCAATCTGAAGTTTCTGGAAGTTTTGCTATTTCTTTTTCCCCTCTCTTTGCAAAATGTCAGATAGTTTAAGTGTCTTGATGACAAGATTTCTACACTTAGGCTGTAAAAGGCACTGACAGAAAATGAGAACGTGTTGAAAAAAATAGTACATTTATGACATGTGAGGCTCACTGAAGTAATGAATGAACAAATAAAATATATCCTTCACTTTAAGGGTCAGTGATTCAATCTTGTAGACATTCTTTTTATTAGCCATTCAATGTTTTCTTTACTTCTCTGGCAAGAGGTCAGTGGGTCCTCTTTATAATGCCAAAGGACCTATGTGGCTTTGGTCCTCCAGCGTCTAGCTAAACAAGCCTGCTCAACAATAAGTTTGCCTTGGACTTCTGTTTCTCATGTCCTGCCTTTCTGCTGACCTGTGAAATCTGTTTCCCTGAGCTGTTCACCGCACTTAACTGTAGCTATTAACTATTAGCTATTGCTGTTCACTGCACCTAACTAACTCTCCAGCTCCAGGTCCCAAGGGCAAATAATGGGAATGCACTGCCTACTCACTGCCCTTACTATGCTGTTCCCAAGCTTTCACAACCACTTACATGAAACCTTGAAGACATTATGTTAATAAGCATAGAATCAGCTTGAAATACATTTCTCCCTTAGCCTCTGCAGAAAGTGCCCAGAGAAATGACAGCAGCTAGTTAGCATATCAAAAAGCACAATACCTAAAGCCTACGGGCGTCTTCCAGGGATTTATCTGCCTGTAATATAACAATATTACTCTCCCAGACCAGCTGATGGTCAATGGTCTATTTTACCTAACAAGAAACATCCTAGGAGGGGACACACTTACGGCTGTGGTTCTGACAGCCAGTTTCTCACATTTTTGCATAAAGAACACGACATCTTTAACAAGAGTGATCTGAACACAATTTCAAAAGTATGAGAGCCTTTTTTGTGTAATTTCCAACAAGCTACTGGAGTTCATTTTTAGGTATTTGATCAACTCAAAACTATTCCAGTGCTACTCCGGAAAGATACTATGGGTGTTTCTATTGGCTGCCTGCTTGCCTGGGCAGGGAGGACAGAGCACCCATCCTGCCACGCCAGATCACCGGCAGCACCATGACGAGAGAACAGCCTCCGGTTGTCCTTCTGATTTTCATAACAACAAACAAAAAGCTCACCTTCTAAATCAACAACAAGCTGTCTGCATAGTCTTTTGCCTTTTCCAGCGGACAAGGAGGAGGTAAAGCATCCTTTGGATGCAGTTTCAGCCTTAGGTTGCTTAAAGAGCCCTCACAGTGCCCAAAACGAACATCACTGTGGTTTTTCATCATGTATGTCTGCTTCATATATAAATACAATCCATATTAATTTATAATGATCATATTACATATTCATTCATTGGTATTAATTAATATAATTGATATTAATTAATATCTAATTAGCTCTGATGTCATGGCTTGGGGCAGCAACTATATTTCTTGTTTTTTGGGGGTGTCTGTAGCCCTGAGTTGGAAAGCATCTGATCAGTCTCTCTGTGGAAATGTCTCATGTATGTTTGTGTTACAGCTCATGTAAAGCTGTAGTGTGAAAGAGGTTTGAGTAAGCTCAAAGAGGATGCAATCTTAAAGTTTTGTTTTACTAGAGCTGTTTTCATGCATGTGTAGAAGTAGCTGTTTTTCAAAAGCTTAGATTTTGGCCAAGCACATTTGACCCTCTGCTGGAATAACATAGGTCACAGCCCTGGCACAAAACTAAACAACTTTCCAACTTTGAAGTTTCTGGCTCAATAGCATTACAAAATTAAGCTTTTTAAAGGGGAGGGCTCAAAAGTCTTTAGCCTATTCTAAAAGACATATTTTTCCTTAGCATTATACACAAGAATATGTATAGATTAACTGTTTTAGATGAAATCTGTTTCCCCTCCCCTCCGTCTGTTACTCGAGACGTGTATCCAGCATGGAAAACATTTCATGTTTCAGAAAGGTATAAGCAATGGAAAACAGCAGCTATAATGGAAAATGATAGTGTGGACAGGAGTGCCATCATAAATAGTAAAAAACCATTTAACTTACCCGAGAAAATTCAAGCCACCGATACTGAAAGCGTCTACTGAGGTTAAATAACCTTGAATAAACCATCCTCCACACCAGATAATTGGCAATGGTCCTGTTAAATCAGATATATTTTTATCAGACATCTAAATTCATATGATGCACTGCAAAGCACTCACAGAAATTTCTCTACAAACATGCAAACTGAATGCTACAAATTTCACCTTGAAAATCAATGAGTGATGACCAAATTGATAAATCCCTATTACATGGAAGAATTTGTATGATGGCAGCCAGTTAACTGCATAGTGATAACCATCTTCTAGATATTTATGACGAGTCTATCTCCTAGTATGTCATTTTTGGGGAATGCTTTTTTTTTCCAAAGGGTAGGCTTTATGGAGATGTTTTCCATGTAAGTGGCAAGTGTGTCATAATAGTAATTGCATAAAAATTCTATGGAGAGACAGGAAAGAAAAGTGATTTTTCTCTTGTAAATCAAAGTGAATGCTATCTTTCCTCATTAGTAGGACAGAAAAATGGTAACCATGAAACAAAATAAATAAGTGTCCATCCCATATATACTACACACTACCATTATCTCATATTTGCACTTCTCATTAGAAGATATCAGTTTGCTTTTTCTTTTAAAAAAGAAAATTTACTGGCCACAGAGTTAATATATTAAGTATTGCCACTTGTATTTTGCAGATGGATAACTGAAATACCAAAAAGGGAATTCTCAGTAGCAAGAACCTCATACAAACTGAGGCTGAGAGAGCCAGGAAGAACTTATTTGAACTTCCCAGGAGACCTGACACTCATGCCCCTTTTTAAAACTGGAAGCACTTGACTAGATGATATATATGTAGCCCAGACTGAGCTATCTTCATGCTCAGCAGTGGCCGTAAGAGGTAAAAGTGCATTGCAAAATAGGCCATTCAACTTTACACAATCTCAAAAACAAGTCCAGTAACGGCCTAGATACATTATGCTCATTTTGCCTTATAGATGACATAGTTTTCAACAATAGTCATTGCTCTAGAGCTATAGCTATCCAGAAGTTGTTTGCTGTAGACTGAACATTGCATCACATTTTAGGCAGACCACAAAGGTTTTTCCCTATGGAGGAAAATTGCTCCTTCGCACCAGAAGATGCTGCGATGAACTGTCTGAACAAAATTCCTTCCCAAAAAGCCCATTTCTTCAGCCTTTGGTCCCTGTCGGAGCGGAGGAGTCTAGCTGTTCGTACAGTGTCACTCTGTTAGCTTCAGTTCCGGATGCATCCCCTACCACTCCCTCTTCCGGATCATAACTGGTTATAAACTCATTTTGTGGGGGTATTGTCTGCACATCAGCATTCGCCTAAGCCATAACTTGAATTTTGCCTCTAACCGCTAGGTTGCCAATTTACCTATGCAAGCCTCCAGCTCAAGATATGCTACTGCTGCAAACTTAAACTCTTGGCCCCTGAACTGGGGAGCTGATAATAAGGCGAAAATGGAGAGGTTTGAGGCAAGCACCAGTATAGATACTAACACTGTGAAAACATGGCTTTCTGGCCTGGCGCAGAGGTCCGCAGCTTGGGAAGACACGTGGTCTGTAACATCACCTGATTTGGGGTATTGCTGTGAGCTGTTCTAGCCGGGTTGAAGCTGGCACAAGAGCCAGACTGAAGTTAGCACAGTTTTGCATGTTCACCTATAGCCATGCTACAGTTGTGTACATCCAGTGGCAGTCTGGACAAAGCACCTGTGTTACTAACTGGTTAAGTCTGCATATTCCGCAAGATTAGAAATATGGTCAATCTGGCTCAAATAGAAAAACTACAGAGTACAATCACTAGCTGTCACCACGCTACTAATGCCACTAACTAGCTAACTGCCACCACCAAGCCAGACTCTGAACGCTCACTAGCGTTTGGGGCCAGTGGCAGCAGCTCTAGAGGGTCAGCAGATTGCTGCAGGCCCTGCCTTTTTACGCTCCTCATCATCCCTCTCGCCGTGGAGAGAGACTTTCACAAAGCACAAATGGAAAGAGAGAGCACCGCAGCAAACACATCCCCCCACTTCATTTCCTAGGCTCTCAGCTCTGGATTCATCCTGTGCAACTCAAGGTGCAGCTCTAGGCACGCCACATAACACTAGGCATGCCCTCTCCTTTAGGATGCAGGCATATCACGTACCACATGCAAATCATAAAATATATCTGACAAATGCTTTTTAGCATGAATAATATACATTTATAGCACAGTATATGTTACAACAGCCAGAACAGTTAGCTGTGATTAAATGATCAAGCCATTCTGAGATAATGCTTAAGCTCATTCAAAATTCATGGACTTTCCTCATTCAGCTGCAGCTAAAGTTCCCTAAAAGATCTCAGCTCTAGTTTATTTTGTAAATGACCTAAATTCCACAAACCTCACAACGATGTGCTGCAGGTATTTCAGCAGAGTTGGCTGGCATCCATGCTCCTGCAGCAGCTACAAAATCCTACAGTTTATTAGAACGCAATTCGGTGAATCTAAAACAGTATTTATATAGAGAGTCCTATAGATTCAAAGGTTTAAAGACTTAATTTCCATCAAAATTTTTAGGTAGAAGACCTCAGCGAAGTAGACCGCTGCCATGAAGCAATTCCATGTCACAATTTAGTGCTTAACTGGCAAAAAAAAAAAAAAATAAAAACCCTAAAACCAAAAACAATTCTCCCTTCTGTGTGCTTCCTGTTCTTTTTTTGAGGTACTTATCCTTACCTCCAAGTTGGGGAAGCTTGCTCAAATTGGTAGAGAATGAATGACTGAAATTTGTAAAGGATAATTTTGAAAAGGTGACTTATTCAAAGCCATAAATATTAATGATAATTCAAAAAACTTTGTAACAGACATAAATTATGAAGGCAGGTATCAGTTTCTGAAAATATCCCACAACTAACTGAGGTTTATTTTAATTTGGCCAGGCAAAGAGAGCTGAAACTTCCTAAAATCAAGCTCTCTGATGAGATTATAATAATTCCTGACTGTAAACACACTAGAATCCATTGATGCATAAGATACATACAAAACAGGAAACGTTTCATTTCAAAGGCCAGAAGAATGTTTATTTGTTATTATTGTTAGAAAGATTCATATTTTATCTGAATCTGTTTACCTATTTTTAGCATGTTTATTTTGCTTTTTTGGCCAACTGTATAAACTTAAAAATAGTGAACGGCTTCATTTGGCTTAAAAAATAACACTCTTCAGTTATAAAATGCCTGCAGTACATATTTTGGGGGTAATTTTCATCCCAGTTCCACAAAGAAGGTCACTGAGGCTCCGAGAAGTTGACCTCTTCACATGGAGGTCATGGAGTGAAATACAACACCAAAATAAAACATACAAATCCCATCCACACTTCCGATGAGACTAGAGCACTTGTTGTTGTAACCTTTGAGAAGATTGCAGTACATAGGCCCTCATTTTAACTTCAAAAACGGTTGTTACAGAAAGAAGTGTAGGCTGACTCTTTCTTAACCAAGATGACTTGTTATTGTGATGCACACTCCCAAAGGAAGTGGTAGACAGCTTGTTTGCTGGGACAGTTAAAATTATACCAGCACTTATGAATATGTGTTAAGGAATGCTGTATCCTCTCTGGGAATAAAATAGGTTACGCACGTAAAGTTCCATGACTGTGTAATATTTTAATCAACACATGCAGTGACAATAAAGAGGATAGATTTAGTATGAGACAGATGGACAAATTCATTGGCATTTTAATACAGATAGATCCCTTACACAAATTTTGAGATCTACTTAAATTTTGTAGGCATAATTGAGTTGTGAATCAAATTATAACTACTTAAAACCTCTGTCTGTACTGCAAAGGCACAAGTTCAAGCTAAATAATTCTAACTTAGCATTCCAACTAATTTTTCAGAGGCAAGAGAGGACTCCTGAGGAAATCTAGTACCCCCTTTCTAAAAAATCCCTTTCTGAAAAAAGTTTCCTCCTTAGGCTGTAGGAATTGCTGAGTACTTCTAGATTTGTACATCTATGTTGCTTGCCCCATACTGCAAAGACGCAGTAAGATCAGCAACAGGAAGCCAGCTATTCATCTGACATCCACGAGAATTGTAAAACTACCTCCTACAACAGCTGCAAAGACCTCTGTAACGAGGACACACTTTTACTGTATCCTATTTATTGCTCAGCTAGAATGCACCAGCACACAGGTAACCGGGATGGGAAATAACAGGCTCCTAACTGCTGCCAGCACAGTCCCCTCCACCACACAGCAACAGCTATGCTGCAAGTGTGCCGTTATTTTATTTACATCAGAGCTACATCTATTTCTCCACAATATGCTTTTTCTTTCTCCAGCAGATGTAGACTCCAGTAAAAATTAGCCAGTACATTGCAGAAATCACTGAAGACTTCTTACGAAGAAGGTGTGAATTACTTCAGCGCTGAATTCCTGCCATGACTTTAAACTAGCTAGCCCAGGCTTAAGGAAGACTAGTTACTCAGCTGCTTGGGCAGCTGGCAACAGAGGGTCGTGCTCCTGGGCTAGGCTCGAAGCTGCGCCCTCGCTTGGGAATTTAGGATAGTCCAGGTTATGTCTGTACCACACTGCAGCCACTACATTTCAAGTCCAATGCAGTCACTTGATTATATTCAGTGGTGTTACCAAGTGAAAAACAAGCAGATTCTATGAAATTCGCTCTGCACCCTGCTTATATGCTATTTTCTAGTAACATTGCAATGTGGATGATTTCATGATTCAAAATTGTTTAGCAGGTTCTCTGAGGGAACGAGGGAACAGTTTTTAATATGTCAACTGTGAGCCCCCATGACTTGTCACTTCCATCACAGAGAATTGTTTCCGCAGTCAGACTTAATTTTCACTCCATTCTTCCCTCCACCTGAAACAAACTTCACCGAGCGAGCGGATCGCCCAATCACTAGGGCAGGAAGCATCTTTTTGATCCACATTTGAATAGTGCCTATGCCAGCAAGGTGCTCACCTGGGAAGGGCACACAAAAGGTGCTGGAATAAAAGTACAATTTAGGAATACAAGCTTTGTGACTGAAAAGAATATGAACTCAGTCAAAGTAAAAGTGTATTTACATCCACAATAATACCTCCAGGTATTCAACTGCCTCTCCTAATGATGCTGAATCTCCTGAAGAGATGCAGAAATTAATTCACGTTCTAATCACTGAAGCAAGTCTAAGATTTTGGAATGCTTTACTAGGAATTTCTCTGTAGAAATATTTACTACAACAAATCAAATTCATGTTGTTTGCATTAATTTAACCTTTTAAATGTCATATGGAGAGTGACAAATGGGATTACCCATAGGAAAAAATCATCGTTAAGCCTTCAGAATTCACCCTAGAGGCAAATGCTAAGGCGGCTTTGTTAGGGGTTTGCATTAATAAGATTTCCTAATATTCTCAAGCCGGCTAACAAGGTTACTTCTGCAGCAAACTATGACATTTTAAGTAATGAACATTATCAGCTAATAGATAAACACGGTCTTTGTTATCACGCAGTGACTCTTTGGATGGATTTTATGTACAAGAATTTGAAGCCTGCTTGGGTTTAGTTTAGCATTCTATTATTTGCCGTTTCTAACATTTTATGATGCAGTTATCTTAGGGCAAGCCTGAGCAGAACATGCCTATAATGTCACTCACATAAACCCTTATGAGCTATAAGATACACAGCCTGAATATACTGGAAATTGGACAGTGGTTTCGCCCATTCTTCCCAGCCTTTGGGAAGCAACCAGGAAGCTGGTCCTGAGCTTCCCTGAAGATGGGCACACTCTCCCTCTGCCATGACACACAGGCTGGGTTAACTCCTCTTTAACACTCAGAGTCAATTTTTTCTTGGATAAAACCTTAATGGAAAAAGCCTCAAGGGGTTGCTTTGTGGTTATAGAATATATTTGCATGGATGTGTATTTTTACACAGGGGTAAACTATCCTCTGTTGTCCTGCTGCATGTGCAGCCTCTAAATCACCGTTTTATCCCCACTGATATAACTAACTTTGAGATACAAGGCATGGACATCCCAGTCCATTCAGAAGGCTTTCTTCGGTAGCTTAAAAGCGGTGGCACACTACATATATTCGTGCTAAGACCTAACCCTACACAAGTATGAGAGGCTGGACCCATCTGCAAGGAGCAGCTTTACTGCAACCTCTGCTTTCTTTCAAGTAAAAAAGGTGCTTGAAAGGTGCTTTTACTACACACAGGCGAACAGCTAACGCCTCATTCAGACAGCTCCGAGCAGACCTTTTGCCTAAACAAAGTCTCAATTCCAAGAACATTTGGGGCGCCTGAAAAACCCAGAAAGCATGCAGCATTTGCTGTCCCCTCATAAGCAAGGGTGAAACCATCATAGGATCCTTACTTTTTCCTTTCATTTTCTAGTATCCTGAATAAATCTTTGAAGTACTGGGGAACACGGACAATCACATTTTCTGAAGGACCTATATCTTTAAGTTCAGGGTAGAGTCTAGGGTCAATCACCTTCTTGATGTACCCCAGCCAGTCAAACTGAAATGACAAAGAAAAGACTGGTTAAAGAAAGTTTATGAAGAGAGATGATATGTTAATTAACTCACATATTTGAGACTAATGGCTTCACAGATTTGCTTATTAAAAAATTAGGAACTATAACACTTTGCTGTTACAACTGTTTTCAAACTTTAGTAAAGCTGCAACTGTATTTACAAGAACAGATACTATAACTGAAAACACACATTCGTAGTGTTATTCCTTTAAAACAATGCTCTCTGCACACTAAACTTTAATTATATATGTTAGACATTAACAGAATAATTTTGTAATGATCCCCAACTAACCTGTGGAATCATGGCACTAAGCTCTGATATATTCATTTTATTGTACATCACTTCACTGGTTCGATTCTCATATGGAATCATGATCTGAAGGGGAAAAAAAGAAAAAAGGCAATGAAAACAAAGATTAGCTTCCAAGGATCCACTCTTACATCATCACTGTCCATCATAACCCTAGTGTAGAACTATCTCACCACTCATTTTCCAAAGCATTTATGATGTTAACTTCCCTTTCCGAGAATGGCAATTAACTAGGAGAGGTGGAGAATGGTTCACTGTAGGTTTAACTCATTTCTGGGGTATTTAACGAGCCACAGGCCTCCTTTGAGCACATCGGTATAATCAGAGCTAAACTGGTCTAAAGAAATGTTTGTGGATTCCTAAGAGAACACACCTAACCCATTAATACTAATTCATCCTGTCATCGCAAATAGAAACCAATTCAAAACTATATAGTATTGAAGGTCAAATCTGAGATGGGGGATGCTGGGAACACATTTCTTCTTTTGGATTAGAACATGTGCCCTGCCAAGGTCTGACCCCATTTGGGAGAACAGCCCCTGTTTCTCCTCCTTTTCCCCAATATCCTGTTTTCCATAGCAAGCGATCAGACTGTATAGGCCATATACGAGCTAAAACATTCTCCAACTAGGCCTCTCATCCGTGCAAGCAGAAATGCCAGGCCTTAGGGTCAGTTGCAGTATCAAAGTTCAAGGACATAGCAAAAGAAATCCGAAATATAAAGCAAGTCCGTTTATAAATGACAAGGGATATTCAGATTCCAAGATGGCAGCTTGGTCCACAACAGAAAAACAGACCAAATACTAGATATAGCGCAAGAAATACAAGAATCCCTCAGGATAATTCCAGCCCAGCTCTAAGGTAAATCCTACACAACAGGTTTTACTCTGGACAGTTTAAACAGGACACAGAGTTTGACGCCAGACTAACCAGACAATTGGCAGTTTTCCAATAAAATTTCTACAGTAAACGTCTGCGGTTTTACTATTGCTTAAGCCATACAGAAAAAATATGACTTTCTTCTCCCTTTCTGCAAACTGTATTTATCTGACAAATCTTTAAACTCTTCCTGAACCCACTCGCTCCCTTACTCTAATAAAACTTTCATACTTCCCCTGGTAATTCAAATCAACTTGAAATCTTCCTTGTGCACAGCAAGCCCTACCCAAGTATGCTGCTCCTTCCTACGTCCACAGTACCTTCCCTTGCTGTCTCATCTTCTTGAGTTTATACACAAATCCTCTTTCACATATGTTCACTTAAAATGAACACAAGGAACAGGGGGTATAGTAAAAGTCCAAGTGACAACAGACAAGACGGTTTCTTGAAATCACACTAGGATGTTTACATAATCCACCATGCTCATTAGGAATCACATAGCATTCCATGTCCCTAGACTTATGCCTAATATCTGAACATATTTTAGGGAGATTATTCATACTAAAGGGAAATTAGATAAGTGTGAGCCTGTATGGCTTGTTCCATAAAGATATGCACTACTAACCCAGAGGGCTGTTACATGATCCATGTCATCTTATTTGGCAACTTCACATATACACTAAATCTGCAAATTAAAGCTCTTTTTAGATATTTGGCAAGTAAAGCATTGAAGCTACCAGAGGTAGCCATGAATCTTCTTATCACATCGCTAAAACAGAACAAACATTTCCTGTTTTTTCAATCTACTAGGTCACAAAGACGTATTTGTCCAGTAGTACCAGACAGTGGACTGTGGCGCTAAATAATTGAAGTTGAATATTGGGCTTTATTTAGAAGTCTGACAAAATTTCATCTCTGCTTTCAGCAGAGAGATGGAAACACATTGATTTACCACTACTATGGATGGCCCTCAATTCTGCACAGCACTATTAAAAAGTATTACTGCCTTTCCTCCTTTCGATGACAAAAGCAGAACCCCGGGAAGAGTCATTTTTCCACTGCATCACCTGTCCTGAACAACAGCCTTCTCTAGTAACAGCACACCCAGCATTTCACAGTGAACAGTGGGAAAGATAGCTGCTTTCCTTCACGATGTAAAGAAATCCTCAGCTCAGCTGGCAATTCTGCATATCAGTGCCAAGTATGCCCCAACTTTTGCTGGTTTCAGCACTGAGGGAAATTCTTCTCTCTAGCTTTGGGAGAAGAAGAAACATTAGGGGAATTTCAACTCCTAGGAGCAGGATTCCTGAAGCAGACATACTAACACATGCATACACGGAGGCAGAAATGCTGCTTTGGCCTGTAACAGTCCTAAATTAAGCTCCATAAAGGTGCAAAAATATGGCTGAGTAAATCAGTCAGACATTGAGTGCCAGCTATAAATCTGCTTTAGCTTTACTAAAGTCAGCTTGGTCCCATAAATTAAAACTCCTGGAGTTTCTTGTTCTCTACCCCAGGGTACCCCAAGAAAGCACTTCAGGAACTAACTGTGATACTGCTGAAACCACCATCCTTTCACTAGGAAGTACCAATGACCTACATCAATCTTGTACTACTTTTAGTCTGTGCCTCAAAGAATCATCACAGTCTGCTTCTTGAATAGATGGTAATGTAGCATCAGCTGCACCACAGGGACTCACATTCTGTTCAAATTCAGAATTAATACTAACATTGCAAAGGACCAAATGTCTTTGGTTATGGCTTTTTTCCTCCTAGAATAAAATGATGAGTTTCACAGTTAAGTAATGCAAAAAGATTATTTTGTTTTGGAATTTTTACTCCTCCTTTTTTCAGGTTCTGCTCTTTTCCTTCTTCTTCCAAAAAATATTATTGCTAAGGCTGTTGATATAATAACTTTCCATTTTGCAACTTTGCAACAGGATTACACTTTGTTTTTAAAGTTAGGTTCAATCCCACAGGAGAAAATTACCAACCTCAGCTATTTTAACTTCCAGTCTTAGAACTGACTTCATATCAGACTCAGCTCGTGAAGCATTTGCACCCAGAAGCACTGCTGTATCAACCATGAACTGCAAAAAGGCATCTCGGTACTGTAAAGGCAAAAAAGAGTGAAATGACCACTGGATTTGCTCTTGAACACAGCTGTATCAGTAGGCCACTAGCGCACAGATACAGTAAGGAATAGAATACCTTGTACTTTTAGGCCTGTGCAACCAAAGTAGTACTTTCCTTACCTCGAGTGCCTGCTTTTTCGTCAAGGAGAAAAGGGGAAATAGCCCCATAAATATATTGTGCAAGAGAGACAGAGATACATGCTGCGGTCCCCTGAGCACAAATTTCAAGATATGCAAATGACACTTCTGGATTAGACTGAAAACTCTTATAGCTCTTATGATACCATTACACATCATGGCTGTGTGTTCACAAATATTTTACGCAGACTCATACTGTGATCAGTGCAACACTGAAGGAGTACTTACATACCTCTGTAAGTTTACTGGCTGAGAGGGTAGAGAAATAAAGAGCCCTTCGAGCTCTCTCTCCCGTCTGTATCCCTGTCACAGCACTACAAGCGTATACCTACTACACTGCTTTGGTTTTCCCCGGGCTATCCTAACAAAGCATAATTTAGTCTCAGTGTGTATACACAAGCGTTAGCAAAATACACTGTATGTAATGATACAGTAACTGTTTGCACACTACCTCCCCTCTGCCATGATCTTCCAGAAGTTTCAGAGGGATTAGATTGCTTTTTATTGAATCCTACCGGCCCATAGTCCACCAAGAGCAAAAATATATTCCAATACATTACCAGCTTTTATCTTTTAGAAGACACAACTCTTTGGATTCTGGCATCATCTAGTCAGATGAAGGTGGCTAGAAAACTCACTACCTTTCCAAGGAACTCAAAAGGGAAGCAAAACTGTAAAACGTTAATAGCAATGACTAAAGTCCCCCATGAAAATTTGAGTGGTTGTTTTCTTTGAGCCTTGGGCTTCATGAACGGGATACGGCCCACAATTCTTCACCAGGTGTGGGGAAAAAAGGTATTGCCATTGTCAAATATTGATACATACCCTAAAACCCTTTGACAAACATCATCAGTTCACGACTGCTATCCACAGAAAAGTAGCAAGAAACTTACTGATAAGCTATAGTAGAGCACTGAGAAATCATAAAGAGAAGAGAGGAAGAAGAGGAAATGAGCACTTAATCTGCTGAGGAATGCTTGTTCCCTTTGGTTAAGTAAATTCAAGTTAGTCTGATAATAGTAATCTGCAATGGTACTTGAAACATGTTCAGACTTCTGGCCTAACTGAGCAGACCAAATCTTACAAAAAAATTAGGCTAGTGTGAGAAACTTTGCAAGAGTGTTTGTGGTGGTAGTGTTTTCTAATAGAAAATAATCCTGAAAAATATAAAAACAAACAAACCACAATCCACTTTCACTATGGAGCTCAACAAACCAAAAGCAACAGTGAAGGGAAAAAAACCCCACACCACTGAGCAAAAATTGATGATGTAGTTAATGATACTTACAGATTTAGCTTCTGTGGTGTTTTCTAGATAATCCTCTCGAGATGCGAGAGATAGGCTTGCTTGATCTAGCTGTTAATAGGAAAGAGAATTTAATGATTAAATTCGTAAGTATTTTTTAAAGCTAAAGCCTACAGCATATTTCATATTTCTACATTTATAGAAACTCACCTAAACAAACACTACTAGAATCTCAAATGAGTGAATGAGTAAATGTCATCTTTTCCCTATTGACTGAGGTTCTTAAGCTTTAAAATATTCTACAAACAAATTAATACAAATCATTCATTAATGGCAGAGTAGGAGTGATGCTCAGTGCAATTCTGATTCTTTGAAAGAGATTGTATCACCTTTTTTCAGCACGTTAAAGTGAAAAGAATATACTCTTTATGTTTTGCAGATGTGTATCGTGGCAGTAGCAAACCTCAGATAACTTGGTCTATTTCAATTAAGTGACTGTTGCTTTAAATACCTGTACAAATTTTCCTGGCCGAAGAGTCAGGTCTGACACCCAGATGAAACCAAGAAAGCACAAATACGAGAAATAAACAAAAAGAGTTAACCAGCTTCTTCAGCCCTCAGGTAAAAAGATCATGTTCAATTCTGAACAAAGTTTTATTTGGAGCTTCTATTTCTTTTTCCTGATCCATTCATGATTTGGAAATGCTGAACAAGGAAAAAATAATTTTGCAAGAGAGCTATTCTCACAAGTAGTAGTTTGAAATACTTTACGGTACATCTGCACTCCCGAGAATTTGTTAAAATGTTGACAAAGTGGAAAACAGGCTGGCAGATGCATACTGCAAATCAAGTTCTTAATCAAATTAACAACAACAGATTACCCTAAGGAATACAGTTATTCATACCATGTATGAATGCAGTATTCATACACTGAACTGCGTATTCAGTTATTTAGATACGTAATTCTTAAGTACTACTAAGCATCCTACTTCTAAGCATACTACTAAGTGAAAATACTATTAGGTGTAATTCATTTCCAAGAGATCAAAAGTAAGGATATACTGAAACCCACCACTAGCAGGTGACTTGGACTGAAAGGTCTGAGAGATATCTAAATATTTCCCCTCTTGATTCTATTCTTTCAGTTCTTTGAAGCAAATCTCAAGCCAAAGCAATTCAGACAAGACCTGAACAGCATCCTAGCAAAATGACTTCCTTGATACAGGAAACTTGATCTGCTGTTGACTTGACTGCTCAGGAGACTGTCCTAGAGATGGGGAAAAGTTACCCTTGAAATTTCATACACGGGAAATGCCTCAGTCAAAGACATTTTAAAGAACGGAGCCAAAATCAACACCCACACCAGGATCACCACAGTCAACTGTTGTTTAATCCCTAAATATGGCTATATTCCTATAGCTAACCAAGATGCTAGGAATGTAAGCATCATACCTTTTTTTTTTGCAATGAATGGTGTAATAACTTTGATGAACGGTGTAATAACTACTTTGCCCCTTCTCTCTTGCCTTCCTGTACTATTTTCTTGCAGTAGTGAAGTACTGGTCTACTCTGGATACTCTATGTCGTAAACAACAACAACAATGTATTTGGGCCCAGGCTCTCAGGCTTGCCGTGATGACATCTCAGAGTAATAATTGCAATTCTCTCTGGAGTTTCTTCAGACTACAGCTAGGCAACATTTTTTTTGTCTTTTTCTCACTAATATAAACCATTATTTAATACCACACACTGCTAACCATCTGATAACGTTTTGATTCAAAAGTAAAAGCAGTTCAGTAAAAAGGCAAGTAAATACAGTATTTTAGATTTGAACATGTTTTGGACACCTCTATGTTGTAAGGTGCTATATAAGTATAAGATAATGTGTTTTCAACTAAAGAAAAATATCTCAGGTTCAAAATATCTGCTACTGATACACCATTCCTCATCTTCAGAGACAAAAAAACATTCTTCATACAACTGATGAGTCAATATTCTTCAAAAGCATTTGGTATCTAGTTCTTCCAAATTCCCATTAATTGGCACCTACACACATCTGTAAGTCAGTAGATATTAGCAACAATTGAAATGTAAATGTTCCTGAACACATTTCAAAAAATGAGATCACAAAATAACATGAAAAGAAGCCTATTAGATATACTGTATTGTACCTTCAGGATATATTGATTGGAGATTTTGTCATCAGCAGCCACATATAAACGGATGAAGACAGAGTTACTGTACTGACCACGAAGAGTTGCCAGGGTTTGAACTAAGCTAAACCTCCTTTCTGACCACAATCCTTCAGGTCCAATGTTCGATTCCAGCACAGGCCAGCGGAAAGGTGAATGCTTCAGTATACTTAATAGTGGTTTCACATCGGCTTTTTCAATTTTATCTGAAATGTCAAAGTGACAACAATTACTTTCCAGACAATTCAAATCCAGCAGCAGCCCCATGAAGCACAAAGATTTATTGGCACTGATCGATTTCTAGGCAAGACAAAACACAACAGCTGAAACCTAATGCCTCTGCTCTACTTGGGAACATAGAAGCAGGAGAGTCCTGTCACAGTTTATCTGGACCAAGGAACATGGGGCAAATCAGTGCCTTTAAAAAAAAAGGAATGAAAGGAATGAAAAAAGTATTCCTTGCTTCGGAACCAGTATAGAGACTCAAATGGTTTTCAAAAGCGGTTACTGAGTGCAATTAAAGCTAGAGAGGTCAGCATCTGATCACCAAGACTGTGAGACTGATCATCCGAACTGCTGACAGCCAGTTTCAGACCATGCTGGACGAAAAAACTTATTTCCTGCACAGGGCGAAAGAAATCCTGAAAGAGATCCAGAAGGACAAAGGACACTTTGAAAGACAAAGTCTACTGCCTCCGCACTCAGATTTCCCTCACGCAGCTACGTTAACATGGTGCTGCGCCCTAGCTAGTGTACATCACCTTGCAGCAATGTCCATGAGCTCAGGAAGAACGCTGCATGCATGTAGCTATGGGGTGTCCAGTCCAAACTGCTTTGACATCCAGGTAACTCAAGAGTTAAAATTCAAGAACCTTGCACTCCCAGCCCCCCAGCATTCTTTAAATCCCTTTCTTCATAGCATTTCCACAGGGATGGGTATAGACAGACCCAGGTTCACAGACACATCACCATGACTGTGAAATTTCCATCAGAGAGTCCAAAAACAACAGGCTCCTCTGTCAAGCCAATACTCCCTAGGGCATGGCTTTAGTATCCTTTTGCACAGGTAAGTAACCTTTTACAGTTCCCTGACATGCAAATGTCTCTGTAAAACTTGCTTCTGGTGCTTTAATGTACCTCAGTCTCGGTAGCTGACTTCAGAAACGGACACAGGACCTTCTGCATTCAGTCGAATCCAATACGCAAAACCTCTGCATCTGCACGGAGCTTCACCGAGTTCAGTGGAGAGCAAAAGAGCCTGCCTTTACAAATACAGCTAACACACAACTGCCCCTCTCAAAACAGGACACTTACTCTCATTCATACAGGAGGCATAAAGGATCTTGGCCTTCTGTACGGCTTCACTGTCCCGTCGTTTGCTGATAGGTTTCTCCAGCAATGCTGAAAAAAGAAATGACATTTTTTTCAATACCTTGGAAAAACGTAGGTGCTATCTGTTTGCCTGTCTCAGTGTTTCCTTTAATCTTAGCACTTAGCTAATTAAGGATGAGGTACCATATGTATTTTCTTAAACAGTAACACAGACATAAGAGGCATTTTCAGTTTCCTTCACCCTCACGCAATGTTTTTTTGTTTAGTTTTTTTAAGAGGGCTCTTTTAAAGCCAGTTGACTGATACGGTTTATTGCCGATCTTCACAAACAGCCACATCAGCAAACTGTGGGACCAGGATAGGAATCAGTAGCCAGGGTGGAGGGTCAGGAATTGTTTCAAGTGGCTTAGCCTCTGGTGCAGGCGTATTGTGAAATTAGGGTCCAAGGAGCAAGACCACTGAGGTTAACTTTTGCCAGCTCTGCTGCGGCTGCAAGCAGCAGGGACCTCCCACTTTGCCTGGCAAACACACAACAACCTCAGTCTTACAAATGACACAGAAGACCAAATGCTGAACTACCATTTGAACAACTGTATTTTATAGCTCCCTCTCACTATAGGTGCCAGCTCCCTTTGTGCCTGAAAGCCACTCTAGTTTTTCCTAATCTATCCCCTCTACAAATCTTGCATTCCTCACATCATATTATAGAAGGGAAATATCATGCAAAGTGCGTCTGAATGTCAGCAGTCAGCTCTCAATTGCCTTGAGCCATTTTACACAGGTTGTAAATTAGCCATGATGTAGCTGCAGATGCACCGACTGTGGCTAAAAGCAGAGCCAGCTAAGCTCAGCAACAGAGCCAGTCTGTCAGCTCAGGTGCAGCACAGAGTGAACACTTCCACAATCAAGGAAGCAGGACAGCACTTGAGCACTGCATGGAAACTGGATCAGCAAACCATGTTGGATCTGACCTGGCTTTTTGCAGAACCTGCATGAGTCTCATACCTTTGCATCACTGTTACCGGGAACCCTGCAGAGAGTGACTTTGCTGGAACCACCTTAAGTCCCTCCTGCTGGGTGCTCAGCCAGAGCAAAGAGGCCTTGAAAAAATTCAAGAGCATCTTCTCTACATCATACTCCCCAGGGATTCAAGAGGGTTTGTGAGCACAGGCACAGCGCAGACTGGCCCCATGCGATGCCATGCCTGAGCTAAGTAAGAAGCATGTCCCACTCACAAAGTAAAAGGAAGCACAGTGCTGGAATCTCAGTGGCCTGCCAAAATTGGCAGAGGGACAGCGGGACTTCATAGCACCTGCCATGGCAAAACCAAACCACTCCCATGTAGAGCCTATTCAGGTGTCAATGCACTGTTTTTCTCCTTTGCCCATATTGGCTGGGGTTTATGCTGAGTAACAAAGAGTTGACTGCATTTGCTATTCAAGAGCAGCACTCCCCTGCACAACTAGGGGCAGCTGCTTGCTCTCTAGCCCATCTCTTTCAATAACTCACCAGTTTCTTCCCCAGTGTTGTCTCTTATAGGAGGCAAAGGTAACAGCTTAGCGGTGCCCCTAAATTCTATAGCTGAAAAAGGTCTGGTTTTGCACTACCTCCCTCAGTATTAGGAGCTGACCACTAGAGGTAGGATCTAAAGATACTTATTTCCCAGGATTTACCCAGCACCTTGAAGAACCTGCCATACAGCACATTTCAATTATTCCTCACCCATGCCTGTCTGAGCACCTACACTCAAGGGAGGGAGAAAGCACAAAAGTACTACTCATGGGAGCAAATCAGTCCTCTGCCTGCTCCAGTAAGAAGCAGTGCAACAAGATAATACAGATAAACCAAGTCCATGGTCATTTCTTCAGCCATATTGCTGACATCAAACTGTTTGTTAGTCACATAATACCTGATGAACAATTGCCACTCATTCTCTCCTTCTACTTCCCTTTCTTCTTCAAAAAAACCCCTTGTGCTTGCATCTTTGAGAAATGTAATGAGATCATTCTGTTTCCGTTATAGATAAGATTTTCCCTAAATCTACTGCTGGATAGGATTCGCAGCAGCTTTGGTTTGAAATCTTCAAATTCTTAATATGTCTCAGCTTCTTAAACACAATATAATACCAGTCACTGACACATGTCTACTAGCGTGCACAGTTCTGTGCAGAATAATCAGATCTGTTCATGTTTTAAGAATGGAATTTTAGAAGCAATCATAAATCAAACCTACATAAAACTAAGGATGAGAAAATACACTCCAGTTAAAGCCATTGCAATAACTTCTGTTCCTTGCCAGTGAGCTGCACAGCCATGAAATTTGAAGCTAATAAAATTCAATAGCTAAAGCCTAGCTGAAACTCAGGAGAGAGACAATGAATGAGATCAAATAAAATAAAATCAACTTTAGGAATACACCTGCATAAAATCCTATTAAAATCAGACCTGGTGTTTTCCCATTGAATCACCTTGTTCCGCTACAGAATGAAGCTGTAACACTCCTTGCGCTATTGCAAAGAGTGAAGTAGGCAGTAGACACTGTCAGTTTGCCCAGAATTAATTTAGGAAGAAAATCCTTGATTCTGATTCTGTAAAATCCACTCTCCATACCTGAAAGCCTTAATGTGATGGTTGAATCCTATATCTGGGCACTGAAATGGGGGATGTGGTCTGTGAGTGCTCTTTAGGCTAGGCAGGTTCCTCAGCCTCAGCCCCAAGTTTCCACAAAATTTTAGAAGCTCAGGTCTGGAGCACCAATCAGATCTACTTGCTCTCTGCACTAGCTAATTAATACAGGGTTTAGAGATTCGCCAATTTAACTCACAAAAGATGTTTATCTTACATGTCCTTGAGTATTCGAATTCTTCTTAAAGAAGAGCAAGAAGAGACAATAAGTGCTGCATACCAGTGAAGAATATGGATAATGAACAAATCTATCTGCAGGTTAGGATAGCCTTGGAAAGGAAATCACTGCTGTGATAGTAACTAGTGTAGACAAATCAAGCCAGCTTTAAATTAGCAAGGTGAGGTAGTGTGAGCAGCCAGCCATGGTAGCAGAGTGCTCTGCATGCGCTGCAACCCCTCAAGGGTACCTAATATCGAGGGTCGGTGCATGCCGTGCTCTGCACTTCTGTGGCTGCCACCGGGTTTAAGCGTCGCTGCTCTCCAAGGGACCTCTGCGAGTCGGACAGACCTGCCTCAAGAGTACCCCGCGCTCTCACCTGCACTGCAAGGTGCCGTCTGAGCACGGCTACCGCTCTCATGTCTCGCATGGCTTTTAAGTTTCCCAATTATATTGGTGGAAAATGCCAGCTAGTATCACACAAACAACAAACTCAGCACCTCCAGCAAAATCCAACTCTCGGTATAGTTGGGTAGGGGAACTGTCTTTCCAACTTGTAGAATTTGAATGGCTTCAAGAGATTTTCTGTTTCTACACCAGATTGACAGCAACTCCTACGGAGCCTTCTAAGGGATGGGAAGAGAAAGACTGCCACAGGTCAGGTAACGTTCTGCCTGATAAGATACTCACTGAAAAAGGAACAGACCTGCTGTTTAGTTCCCTACTCTGCCATTCCAGGTGACTGCTGTCACCCCTAGCTGGGAGAGCATATGAAGTTGTGCGAGTCTGTTGGGAAGCTGAGTCTAACAGATTTTTAAGTCCAGTGTCTGGAATTAAAAATTGTGGCTAAGTTAGGGAGTGCAGGGTTCCCAGTGACTTGACTAAAGCAATTCACTCAGCAGTAAGATGGGCATGGAGTTTTGTCTTTTTTTGCACCTTTTATTTTTTAGTTGGAATTCAGATCATTTTCTGAAGGAAAATAAAAATGTTTCTAAATGAAAAGCTTCTGCTTCCTAAATTAATCTTCCACTTAAAAATTCTAAGTGTTAACTGAATTCAGCTTAAATCTATAAACAATTTCAACACACAAAAAAAAATCACCAGATTCACTGATTATGAAAAGAATTTTATTCTGCTTCTGTCAGCCTCTTTTAGCTGCATCTTTAAATAAGTATTTTTAAGGGATAAATGCTTTGGACCAGACTGCGCAACATACAGAACTCTTATGATATAAAAAGAATTAGAAGCAATAGTCCATTTGCTACCTCCCAGTTAAATGTTAATGCTAAACATGGAATAGGGATCCAGTTCAAGAGCCTAGAAAAACAAAAATCTAAGCTAATTCACAACTCTCTGAGAGAGCATAGGCTCTTTCCATGATTATTGAAATCATGATCACTGTGCATGATCAAAAGTGACCAGCAGTAATCACAATTTAACAATTTATCGCTGGTACGAGGTTACATCAGTAGACTATTGCAAATGCAAAGCAAAATATGGTAGCCTAAAACCACCAGCACATGCAAAGAGAACTAAAACAGCTTAAACCACCATGAATTTAAAGTTCATATTTTTTTTTCTTTATTCATAATAATTTAAAGGCATGCTTACGAGCTGTAACCGTGGCTTATCTGGCATGCAGCAACTTACTAAGCTGCAGTAGCTCAGGAGTCTGATGATCACCTGTCCCTGGCCAAATGCAAAGTACAAGTTCAGAGGGCTATTATAGCAAAACAACTCTTATTCTTCAGTCACATCTTTTGTTTCCGTCAGTTTCAAATTAATTCTATAATTTTTTTCCCTTAGGGATCAAAGGGGTCTTTCCCCATGCACAGGCTGCATAGACACAATATTTACATCTGTCGTCAAACAGAACATTGTTATGACAAGTGTCAAAACGTGATGGTAATTCTGCTCCGCAATGGTGAAGTAACATAATTCTCCTCATTAAGCGACTGCCACTTGCACGCTGAGGAACTAGTTAAAGGTGTTCACAGTATCTTAGACTTCCTGAGGTTGCAGACTGCTTCACTGTTCCTTTTCTTTTACCAAGCGGCTGAGGGCAGGGGAAGTTCCCACTGCAAATCAAAGTTCTTTTACTTCTGGCAATCTCGGTCAGACAGGCTTAGATTACAGCTCTCCCCGGCTCTTGTGCAGAGAGCACAAAGACCCAGCGTCACTAACAAAAAAGCAGGCCATAGCTGGCGATGATCACGAGTGGTATGAAT